GGGGCGGGTGTGGATAAAAGGAAGGAAGCCAGGAGGGGCCCAAGCAGCTGGCATTTTTAGACTGAGCTTTGTCTGCCTCTACCCGTTGACCTTTCAGGCATGATTGGATCTACGGCTGTGATGAGCCACCTTGTATAGCTCGTAAGGTCATTGAGGCGCGCAAGCTATCACACCACGTCAAGGTGTAGTCTCATCGTAATGGTCGAGTATACGAAGAATCAAAGTCATCTCAAGAATTTTATTTCGAGAGAGGTTACTAAAATAATTGTGCGGGGATCGGTTAATTTTATGATACGCACATATACGCTATTTCGGGATGTCGTTTTCCAGCGAGCCCACAAAACTTTGTATGCAGTGAACTGAGTTTTTGGATTAAATGAAATCATCGCACGGATGTCACCGAAGGTCTTTGATCGCGTTAGGCATGAAGGTCTGCTGTCGAAATTACCCACGTTCGGATTCCATGCGCTTCTCTTATCGTGGCTCAAATGTTTCCTCAGCAAGCGAACCATCTCCGTCCGAGTTGATGGGTCCTTTCTTAGCCATTCCCTGTGAATACCGGTGTTCCCCAAAGTCCCAACTTCTTTCTTTTGTTTATCAACAATCTTTTGTTCAAACCATCTGATCCCATTCACTGCTTTGCCAATGACGCCACTCGCCATTGTTCTCTTTCTTACTACACGACCCATCAGGACACCATGAAGATCGATCGCGACCGCAACGTCATGAGCGCTTCTGTTGCGTTTGATCTTCAACTAATCTCCGCGTGGGGTTCCACCAGCCATGTGTGTCAATACTTCCAAAACTTCTCTTTTACCCGTGTCCCGCGTGATCGACGAACCGTCTTTAACTTCCAACCTGAAGTAGCTTTTCCGTTGCCAGACAGTTGATTCTTTATCTCCTTTCTAGGGTTACTATTTTGGTTCTTGCTCTGCTGAACTCGCTTCAGCAGCTCCCTTCCCTTGACCCTTTCTCGACCATCTCATTCTCAGGTGGGCAGTCACCCTGATTAGGTTTCTGTCCCCAGATGTCGGACTCCTACCTTTTCATCTTCTTTTTCCCGAGGACTGTGAAATTGTGGAACACTCTTCCCATTTCCGTGTTTCCAAGCACTTATAACTTTACGGTTCAAAAGCAGAATTAACAAATTGATTCTTACTTGAATGTTCCCTCACATAACTCCCCCTTACAGTACATCACTGATCATAGGGTTTAACCCTTTTGCTGTAAATCACTTTGTGTGTAATAAAAAGGCGAACATTCACTCAGAACAAGAACAGTTTGGTAGTCATTTACTTTTCTCTTCGGTTAGTATGGAATCAGAGATTTTAGGCATCCCTTGATCGAGAAGAGAATATTTGCACGAAGGGATGAATGGGCTTAGATTGAGGTAACAGCAAATGGTGACAGCATTAAGGAGTGGACCTTACCTCCAAAGGTTGTTTAGTATGAACCTCGTAGATCGAATTTAGAACCTTTCGCATTTTGATTATCTCCTCGGCTTGTATCTTGATGTCGGATGCTTGACCTGAATGCAACAACAAAAATGATAACTGACAGGTAAACTTACCGTGTGCAGAACCTGATGGTTGATGAACCATGATCCTAGAATGAGGAAGTGCAAATCGCAGACCGGGTGCACCAGCAGCCAGAAGCAACGACCCCATACTACTAGCTTGTCCAACACACCACGTAGCTACCGGAGGTTTAATGTACTGCATGGTGTCATACACAGCCAAACCAGCAGTGACAACTCCGCCTTAAAACATCAATAATGGGATAGAAACAAACCTACCGGGACTATTTATATAAATATGAATTGGAAGCTTCTTGTCTTCTGATTGCAAATATAAGAGCTGAGCAATAACTAGACTGGCGATCTCATCGTTGATTGGACCCATCAGACATATAATGCGGTCTTTTAATAGGCGTGAGTAAATATCGTATGCTCTTTCTCCCTGGGCCGTTTTGTCCAATACGATAGGAATCAATGAAAAGGAGCGACTTCGATTAGCCAAAATTATGGTTCTTGAAATCAATGGAATAGTCGTCCCGGGATGTAAGGCGCGTATTACTGACCACATGATGAACCGTGAATTTAGGCTAAAAAGTGAAACACGCTGTTGATCCACTGTGAGACGAAGACATTTGTAAGAATTGAAATTTGTTAGGAACTGTATAAGAACAATTAAAAGATTTTTATTTAATCGTAATTGAGGTGAGATTTATTATTCAGTAATGCGAACCGGAAACTCAATCATGGGACTTGGTGAAATAAAACTCCCAAAAGTCAATACATTTCCATTCGTTTGAATCCAGACTATGGTAGATCATAGCACAACAATATTGGTAACGAAATCGGTCTATGATTTGTTCGTGAACGAGATTGCTCGGGCCAAGTTTCTTGGAAGATTTATAAACGGAGCCCTTGGCTAGCACAACCCTAATGCACAAGGTAGCGGAGCGACAAGAAAACCGCAATCCATTGGAGGCAGGTTCATGTCATCGGGTCAAACACCGTTCGGACGAAATCAAACGTCCAAAATGGTCAACATACCTCCATGCCCAACCAGTCCGATGACCAGTCAGAACCAAGAAGGCGCTGGAGTAGTTTAACTCTTGTTGGTTTTAAAAGCTTGAATATTCCAATGATAGCACTGAGAAAACGAGTCGGTGAGCGAACAATTGTTTTCGGATATTCATAGTCATGTTTTTACAGATTATTTAGTGGAAAAACTTCTTGCATACTCCTGGCCATTGGCTCATTTTAAAGTCAATATTCGGAGGTAGAGAGTAATGGGAGTGTGTATGTGTTTGTCCGTGTGTGTGTGTAGAAAAGTTTAACGTGTTAGTTGATGTGACCTTTCCCCACTTGAGTCAAGTGACATGTCATGTTCCGTCTTGGTTTTCACACCCGGCCAAGGCAATTGGAGCGCCTGCACCAATCGCTTTTGGGCACACAGGTTGGGGCCTAGTAAGCGAATGGCGATTGCCTCGGCCATAGCCAGTGTCCAAACTCGAGCCGCCCTTGAGCGATTGATTGGGATGTGATAAACCACATCAAAAGCTTTCTCAGGTTCGATCTTGGGGCCGATGTCGACGAGATGCCCCACAATGGCGCTTGAGATACAGCCGGTTTTTCCCTAATTCAACCATCGCCGGTGTTGCTCCTTAACACGTTGAGACAAACGCCTTACCGTACGACCTATGTAACAAGCGCCACAGACGCACTTGAANCATGGATGAGGTCAGTTTCGGCAGTTTGTCTTTCACCTGCATTTTCATCACCAGCGATGTAGAGAACACTGCTCTAAGTTTTGCTGCGGGGAAGGTGGAATTTACAACCGCTTTCAGTGATTGTACTAGGCTCTCGGTGTGTGAGTCCCCTTTAAATGGGATCCTTATGAATAGTCCTTTCTTGGGGGCACAGATAGCGCTTTCCTTCTCCGGAGTGAGCCGAATGTTCTTATCGATGAACTTCTCCGGATAACCATTGTCCTGCAGCGTTTGGCGGATGAAGCGTTGTTCTTCATCCAGTGTGTCTGCTGAACAAATCTTCCGGGCTCGGAAGACTAGACACCGGACTAGATTGCGTTTATATTCCACAGGGACGAAACTATGGA